ATTCCAGCACTGTAGTTTCTGTACCTAGTAGCCGCGTACAAACAGGTAAATTGATATAGTACGCGCCAACTGAGATGAGATTTTGATGCGCATTCGAAAGCCCAGAAGATAGCTCTATTGGTCACACAAACTTATGTCAATAGTACATTGGCGAAATATGACTTGAGTGTGCGGAGTCTTTCAACACAGAACGATTTTACGTTTCTACGCTGACTCATTTTAGTTGGCGTGTATTAGTAATTGCGTTCATCTGCTTAACTCATGTTGAATATACAGGTCATTTTATTACGAGTTGCTTGTAAAATCTATTCATAGACAACGGCAACAATGCTTTGAAGTTTAAAAAATTGGAGCAGGCAAATATGTGTGACAGAGAAGCGTTGCTCATACGTTTCATGCGATAAAGGAGGACGTAACATAGCAGTTGCGCGTTACCTACCTGTGAAATATGATAGAGTGCGCATGTTTCCTATCCCTAGTATAGAAAAAGCGATTGGTGGTGTTTAAAACTGGTGTTTAAACAGCGATTGGCTTGTTTAAACACCACAGAAGCCATGAGAACAACACCAACCGCGGCAATAGAATTAATTACTGGTCTGACTCCTCTGAACCTATACGTTAAGGAGGTTGCGTTAATGGTCATGTTACGATTGCGCACGGCTGGTGTAAACCTCGAAGTGAAATGGGTCAATTGAGGCTGAGCCTATGGCAAGAAGCGCTTACTGCGCAACCTTTGCTGCAGGCAGTCAGTGATGCAATTGAACCCAAGTTTGTGTTTGATGAACCCTACAAAATACAAATAAAACAGAGCATAGTGTCAGATGCTTCAAATGCAATTCGCATATATACAGACAGCTCAAAAAACAAAGAAGGCTCAGGATGTGGAGTGTAGATCACTAAGCCTAATGATTGAGTGGGGAATGGGAAAAAATACTAGCGTGGTTCAAACAGAACTGGCTGGTATCTCAATCGCCACAATAGCAATAACCAGCAAAGAAATTTTTGGCAAACACGAAACAATCTGCACTGATAGTAGACAAGCCCTATTAGCTTCGAACAGACAACGTGTTACCTCAGGGCTAGTACAAGAGTGCCACCAAGATTTAGCCAAAGCTTCGGTGGATAATAACATTATCCTGACGTAGGTTGAAAGGCACGTTAGGAGTAGAGGTTTACGCATTGCCGGCTCTTTGGCCAAGGAAGCAGCAGGACTAAAAATTTTAGGAGCCAGTGACACCTACCACCTGATGACTTCGACAATTGCGGAACTAGTCAAACGTCACACCCATGATCAATCCCTGAAGAGATAGGATGGAATTAAAGGATGCAATTTGATTAACGGAAAAACAGATTTCAAACAGATTTTTTTAATCTTGCCAGGATCACCGTGGGCGACCCTGGGAAGCTGGCGCCGAAGAAATATCTGGCGATGACCAGGAAAAATCTACGCTCAATAGTAGGATTTCTGACTGGTCACTGACAACTAAGGAAACACCTCCATAATATGGGTCTAGTGGACACACCTCTATGCAGGATGTGTGAACAGGAAGATAAAACTGTCAGGCATGTCTTATGTGAGTGTCCAGAGTTATCGTGTGTGTTCGGCGAGTCTTAGCCTACACCTGCCGATATAAAGGAGATGTCTCCCAGTGACCTGTCAACCTTCCTGGAAAGTACAGGGTGGACGATGACCTAGGAGGACAACTTCTCGGGAGTATATACAATGGGTCACATGTGGCCTAAGTGCTGTGGACCTACACTCACCCTCCCTACTCAACAGATACAGATACAGATACATGTCAAGAATTTCATCTATGTAGAGAATTTGAAAAGCAAATTGCAACCATCAATATTATTCTTATATTCTCGAATATTTGCAAAACATTGCCATTTGAACTTTCGTTTGTCTTTAAGGTTCATATTGTCGATTTTATACATGGCATCTTTGTTGTGGAAGTGGTCTGAAAGTTGTTTTTTTTTAATCTTGGCTCAAAAGTTTCGTTCATGACCATGACATCATGGATGTAAGGTTTTTTGCTATGTCAACTAGCACTAGCTCCAGACTTTTGTCATTATAATCTGCATCTCAGAAACGTCTTGTTACTAGTTGAATATTGAGTTATATAGTCGTTAATATTTGGTGAAATTACGAAAATGATATCCAGCAACTTATACTCCACGATGTAAAATACCCTTGACGGAAGATAACTGTAATCTCCAAGAATCATGAGAAATTGACGTTTCTTTGTAAACACTTGATTTTTTATCTTTTCATCTCCTAATTTCTGCAAGATAATAATTATTTCAAATCCAAAAAAATTCTGCAAATTAGAAAAATCGATTGTTCATTCATTTTCTCTTTATCAATAATAGATAACATCCAAGTGGAGATTCATTAATTTCCAATCTCAATTAATCTATTTCATACCATGTTCAAACTGTAGTAATGAATTTATTGGTTAAACGTCAAGAGTATCCAAAGATAGAATCAGTTCACGTGAAAGTGATAGTAGATAAGACCCTGAGAGATGTGCTCTCCGTAATCATATTTTCAAAGAAGGTTTTAAAATGGACTATAATTCAAGAAAAATCGCAGCAATTGAAAGAAATATATCCAAAAGTTTGTTTTGGGAAGTGTCATTTATATTACAATCAAATAATTGCCTTAATAGTAGATCAGACATTGATCACCTCAGTGAAATTTATGTTTTTCTACTCGATATAGATGAAAATTACATGAAATTCAAACCAGCAAGGATTCTGAACATTCATTAATATAATTCATAACAGTTTTTTAATATTTTGAAACAAATTTCCAACCTCCCTATGGCAAGATTTTACTTTCAATTAATAACACCTCTTCATTATGTTTTTACCACAAAACTAATAAGGGTGTTTTCAAATAATTAAATTTGAAATTGAAGTATTCGATATTGGGTTTTCTCATTGATATGCTTATATAACAGCACATGACTCTGATCACACTTGCACCATCATTGTTCTCGAGTGTTCCATAGTTTTAACATATACAAACGAACACACCTTTTTCAAAGTTAATCACATGTCAGTGCACATTGTTTTGTTGTCTCTCTCTTTGATCTTCAACCACATGGCTTATCCGGTATCTTACAATTTTATGTTTCAATTGTTCAAATGTAGCATTCTTTTAGACACAGCCATCCGGTAAGTTGAGCCTTTTTGTAATAATTCTACATCTGCCACACGTACCTACAAAGCCGTAGGTCTACATGAGAGGAAAGGGGTATTCCTACTCCCATTCCGGTTCACACCGTTCTGAAGAGACCATGCTCGATTCTGATGTTGAGGCAAATACCTCGAAACCGGTCTATCGATTGGTCGGATTGACTTGCAATGAATTTTACAAATATTTTACAAATCGCCACACGTACCTACAACCCTGTATATATAAAATATAAGGTGACCCATATAAAAGTCCGCGGGCAAATATCTAAAAAATGAAAAAGAATATCCATATTTCGTGAAAGCAGATAATTTTGATGCCAAAGGGTCCTCTTATTTACGTAAAGATCCAGTACAAAGCGTCATCCGTTAGGGCGTCGCGACATCGACGCCCATATTTTTGAATGATAACCCATTAAATTTTGAATTCAGCCATATAGCACACTTGTAGTTTTCCATGAATACTGATGAAAAAGGGCAATTTTATTGCGTATTATAAAGAGGGCCATGAATAAGTCAAAATGAATGCACTAATACGAGTTTATTAAAATGAATCCATCAGTTATGATTTCATAGTCTGTTCAATTTTATCTAGTTGCGTATTTCTGTACAAATTGAAATAAATGTTTCAATTTTCCAAAAAATATATTACTCTGACCATAACTCGACTAACATGATAATAACGAAATCAATTAGTGATAACAAGAATCATTTTAGTAAGTATTCGAACTGTCTCCCTTCACGAAGAATACACATATTGGTATTGGACCCTTATTTCCAATTTATTTCTCATTGAAAGTATTATCCAAATATTGGGTAACTATTCTATTATTATGTAGAGGTTCCCCATTTTGTTGAAACCACATATTCCGTCGAGTTTGTATTGGTAAATTCTCCAAGAGATTCGGCAACACATGTTGTAGAAAAACCAAGTACCTCTTGGTCGGTCGGTAGCCAAGCGGTTCGGCGTGGGTGCTTTTTTCACTCACTCGAATTGACTGCCGTGTTGGTTCCTCCGACCGATCGATCTTCACTTGCTATCGTCCAACCCGAGTTAGGAATCACACGTTAAAAGGTAAGACCTCGTTAATCCTCAGCTCGCACAAGTTTAGACTTCTGAGGGTTGTCGTTCGTACGGGTGCGACAGCTGGTTAACGGAAAAACAGATTTTAAACAGACAGATTTAACAGATTTCTTCCCATTGAGAATTCCTTCGAAAAAATTGGCGTCGGTGTCGCGACGCCCTAACGGATGATGGCTTGTGCTGGATCTCTACGTGAATAAGAGGACCATTTGACACCAGAATCATCTGCTTTCGCGAAATACGAATATTCTTTTTCATTTTCTATATATTTGCCCGCGGAGTTTTATATGCGACACCCTGTATATGTATCGAATCCAGAAAGGATAATGCAGTCAAGCTGCTGGAAAATAATTTCATGAAAATCAAAAAATAAGTAGATGAAGTATTTTCTGATCATTCCCATATTGATTTTAATTAAAGAGACACCGGTCGACAACTGTTTCAGCCTCAAATCATCTGAAGGAACAATTTGTTCTGGCTAGTCTCAACTCCCGACACTGTAGGTTAATGGACTGACATCTATCAGAAAACAACTACTCCCCTGGATAATACCACGAAGGGCGTTGGATTATATGCGACAGGTGTCAGTGCAAGAAATTATACCTACATATGCTGTTGGCGATACAACTGCCACAATAGATTTTTCAAGAAAAAATACACAAAGAACTCTATCAAATATTATATAAATTCCAGGATTATAAGTTAGCCAAACAAATTAACTCTCTCATGAATATTTATTTACTGATTCAATCGAAATCTTGGTTCACAAATATTTCACCTAAAATACATATGAAATACGGAATTACTTCAGTTAAACTCCTTCGGTTCACACCAATAGCATGCGTCTCCACTCTGAATGAATTCTATGATTTCTTGCAAATTCGTCAGAGCTATTTCTGTAATAGATTCTACATAATGGTTGTCCAGAGCTATTGCAGGAATGCCGTTTATTGAGGGTGTCACAGAATAGGTTCTGTTGGCGTACTCAACGAGCAAATTATCAGCCTTTCCAGAATGCAAACAATTTTCTATCTGGTCCCAATCAATTTTTTGATCAATGGCACACTGAAAAAAATTGTGGAATGTTCATTAAATGCAAAAAGTGAGATATTATATCATAGGATCATATTGAATGTGTAATATAATGTACAAGAAGTTAACATCAGCATATCCTTCTTCATAATTTTTTTGTAAAATAACCTTGGAGAAAATTGGTGAAAAGGATGACTTTGGGAGATCTAAGTGACCTTTGAATGAAGCCCAGGAGTTCCTATCCACTAGTCTTTCATCAATGCCATTGGAAGCTAATACGTCCCTCTGCATATGAGCTGAGAATATTGTGCAAATTCATGAGGTGATGTTCATCCGGAGCATTGTTCAAAATGGCAGTCGAAACCTCTACAGACCACGACCGTTAGATATATTCTAAGGTGAGCTGGGAACTATAGAGAGCTTTCAGCAACAGCAGCTCCAACAGATTCTTTGTAACTGTAAATCGATCTACATTGAAACCAAGAAGAGGAATGCACAAACCTGGTTCTCGACAAATAAGCAATAGAAAACCAAGAGAACACCAAGAGAAGGTATTCACTTTATCGCGTTTGAAAAAACTCAAATACTTGATAGAACTGACAGTCAGTATCAATTACCAAATATAGAGGTGATGGGCATTCAGATAAATTGAAACAATTGCAACAGAAGGGAAGAAAAAATTAAATTTAATGAAATCTGACTGCCTGTACCTAATTCCTCTCGTGTCAAGTCATTCAATTCGGCTACACCCTCCACCACTGGAATGAAAGTGGAGACCCAAACCAACACTGTGATATATGCAGCCAGAACGTTTTGTTCGTCGCCTCATTGCTTTCTATCCACCGTAGTCATAGACTAAACTTCAGGTATAAAAACCATTATTTTTGACATATCACTTTTCTAAAAGAAATTATTTAAGTTTTAAAAAAATCATGTTTCTCAAATATCAAGAGAACGATACTCAATAATTTGTTCCTTTCTTGTATTCTATTGAGCATAGAAATATTGATTATAAGCGAACTTGAATTGAAGGGTCTTCCAACAGGAACTTCTGAACTTTGACATTTGATAACGGTCATCTTGTTGAAGCTACATTTGTCAACTTAGTTGTAATTTATTGGTTTTGTTTTGCCAAATCACCATGGACGAATAAAGCTATCAACAATACGTATAATAAAAAAAAATCATCAAATACGGTCATTTCATCAATACCCATACGTCGATGGAATGCAAGATCTGCCGAAAACATCGCCCTTGTCTGTGAGAGTGTGCAGGAGAATCGGAGGTAGTCGATTTCGCGTCGTCCACAGGAACTCGACCTTTCGCAGACCACAACTTGGCGAATTTTGCGTCGTGACTTGAGCCTAGGAACTGAAGGTAAACGACCATAGACAACGACGTGTGTTAGCTGAATGGGCTTTGGAGCAGTCGGCAACTGACCCTAATTTTCATGCAAAAATTATCTTCAGCAATGAGGACCATTTCTGGATGAATAGGCACGTGAACGAACGAACTTGTTGAATTTGGGACTATACCACATGATATCCAAGAGCATCCAATGCATCCCGAAAAATTCACTGTTTAGTATCGACTTTTGGCTGGCGACGTCATCGGTCCATATTTCTTTGAGAACGACGTTGGCCAGACCATTACTGTCAATGACGAGTGATGGCCTGACATGAATGATCGGGACACCGACATGTGGTTTCAACAGGACGGCACTACGTACCACACACCTTATGCCACATTGAATATTCTGCACGAGCGATTTGAGGGCATGGTCATATCACGTAGAGGTGATGTGAACTGGACACCGAGATCGTGCGATTTGTCCTCATTGGACTTTTTCTTAGGAGGATTTTCTAAGTCACAGGTGTATGCGAATGAGCCACAAACCGCAGCGGTCCTCAAAGCCAACATGATCCATGCCATCAGTCAAGTTTTGCATACACTTGAACGATGTTATATTCCACGGTCGGTAGCCAAGCGGTTCGACGTGGGTGCTTTGTTCACTCACTCGAATTGACTGCCGTGTTGGTCGGTGGTTCAAGCCCTAGTCTGAACGATCGATCTTCACTTGCTATCGTCCAACCCGTGTTAGGAATTACACGTAAAAAGGTAAGGCCTCGTTAATCCTTGTCGTTCGTAGGGGTGCGACAGCTGGTTAACGGAAAAACAGAACAGAAACAGACATATTTTAAACACATAATGGCATCAGTAGGTCTTTTTAACAAATGAAAAATTTTGATGATATTTCACACGCACTTTTTGTTATTTAAATTTGAAGATAGGAAACGCTCTTTGAAAGACCCCTTGTTTGGTGTCCAAAATAAAATCAAATATAGCAATGATTCTAACTCAGTTTGAATCAGTCTGAATTTGAAGCCATCCAAGGAAAAATATACCTTCATTGGACTTTTACCTGTTTCAAAATTGTTGGGCTGGATGGATCAGAGGAAGTCATTGCACACATTGCAAATTCTATTCCAGAGTTTCCAACTCCTAAATCCAACGCACAGGCCTGTACTCTATTTCCGTAACACTCAGGTTCTCCTCGTGGACAAGTAATGATATATTTTCCATCAACTAGATCGACCTGAAAAACATTTCCTTTTCATTGAAAAATCATAAATATGCCACCTTTGAAAAATATATCAAATTTTCTTATGAGTAGGAGAAATACTAGATTATTAATTGTGTATAATCCTGAAACTGTATTGCGAAGCCATTGTTGATAAATTTATCAAAGAAAAATCAAAAGAGAATAATTCCATATAGAAGCATACCCCGTAACTGGAGATGTGGAAATTTGACCAGATAACTGGTGAGATGGGGTTTTATTTTAGCTCCTGAGATGACTTGTACAGTTTTAATATGTAACTAATCTCTTCATTGTACCTACAAAAAAGGTGCAACAAATTTTTTTATATTGAGAGCAACAAATAAAAAAAAATATATTGCGAAAACTATATTTGTAGTACAAAAAACACTGATTGCATTAATTGAGCAAAAAGTTCCACTGGCGCCGAAGCAGATTTAAGGGATCATTTCCTATGTACAATCTACGTAACGGGTAATACAGCATGCACCGCAAATTGGTGTTAGACATTGGGAACAGATTACTTTTGTCTTTTCATCCTTAGTCCTAGGGCATTTTCCACATCGAACCTTCTTCTGAAGTTGTTGTTGGGGATAACAGGGACGTTTTTCTTCAAGATCCTTGCAATATTGATCCGTAACTCGCGAGGTAGCCGCTTGTTGATCAATCTTGCATTCAGTTGATATTCTACTAGTTCTTTGGCAAGCTCTTTCATTGAAAACTCTTTGGATTCTGTTTTCGTTCCTTTACTTCAGGAGTATCATCTGCATTACCAACCAATTCATCTTCAGATTCCGAATGGACAATACCATGCTCGGATTCACTACCAGGCAACTCAATTTCAGATTCTGAGTTGTGATCAGATTGAAAATCAGATTCAACTTCCTCTTCACCGCTGTATTGGCTTTCTAAATCGTTCAGAATTTCATTTGTCCATTATTCAAAATTGGGGTCATCGGATCTCATTGATTTTTTCGGGAAACCGCCATATTTAGATATAAAAAACCAAGAAGCTCTTATTTAAAAAAGCAACATAACTGGTGAGGTGGGATTATTCAAACCCCATTCAGCAAATGAAGCATGATAATACAAAATAACTAACCTGCAATAATGCGTGCGCACACTGACAGCCTAGCTAATACACTGATGAAAAGGTACTGTAAAGGTTTTCCCCCTTCGCGCTTCAACTATCGCCCAGTGATGTATGTATATTATCTTGGGGTGTGGATAACCCCACCTCACTAGTTGCGGGATAGCGATATTATCATTGTTAATGGTGATTCTCATTATTATTATATATCATGAATATACTCGCTTTTTATTGAATTTATATTCAAGATTGTCATCGCAACAAAAATACAAATGAATTATTGAAATATTTCCATAAACAATCTCATACCATTACAGAAAATTTGTCATTGGTTAGTTGGTAATATTTCAAATTTCATAGCTAAACCACGAAAAATATTTGTAAATTGGAAAAGACAAAAATTCTAGTTCTTTAAAAAAACAAAACTGTGTTTTTCAACTGATTTTACAAATTCTGACATGACCACAGTCATTACGTAAACTTCTCTTCGTATTCCTTCCATTTCAATTTTACCCGGTTCTTCGGAGTTGTTCATTCCATTTCTTTCTTGTGTGTACCACTTACCCAAACTTTAATAACTTTTCTTGTGAACCTTTATCCATTCTGTGAATATCTTTTTTTATATTCTATTTACTGGTTTGATTGGTGTTACCTTGTCGACAAATATCAATGAAAATGCATGACTTTATCATTAAAGGGATCGAGATTCATGTGCTTCAAAAATAAGTAAAGCACAAAGGATGAGACCATTCAGAATGTTTCCAACAAATAATTCTGCCGTTCCGATATTTTTTATATTATCATTAATGTTTTGTGATTCTTATTTACTCACATCACTATTTCCAGAAGGTAACAACTCCAATTTTATTTTATCTCCGATTTCAGAGTAAGCTGGAATGAGCTGAACTTCGAAAAAATCTTGACTATATGGGCCGAGACTTTCATAGTAGACGGACACAGTCATAGGACTTGCCTGAAACAACAAATGAGTTACTCAGGGTTGATACGAAAACTTTCAAAATGGTTCATTTTAGAATACCCACTAATGCTATTACTTGAAAAAATCCAAACAAGAAAGTATATAATCAATTTTCCATGTTAATATTTTCAAATTGTCATGGTTACCTATAATATGGATTTTAAAAAGTGGGTTTGATTGTTTGATTCATTGAGCAGTATTTTTCCTCACATAGTCAACAACCCTCAAAATCGAAAGTTTGTACGAGTTGAAGATTAACGAGATTTTTTCTTCGGATGTGCGATTCTTAGCACGGATATAAACGCGTCTACTTCAAATATTTCAGATTAAAATTTAACATATCCCCGTCGAATTTTTTTATTTTTTTCGAATGCATATCATCTATATGTCCCACAAGAAAATTGAACAAACCTAAATATTCAAACAATTTAATTTCTCATCGAAATTTTTTTTTATGGCTACCTTCATCCATCAAATAAATTTGGGAAATATGTCTGGGAAACACCCAAAAATCACATTTTCTGTATGTTTCACGATCACTTGCAGATCAAAAAGTAGATGTACAACCATCAAAATTAATTTTTTTTCTCATGAGATTCATCAGCACCTCTTTCCAATAATTTGTGATGTGGTAAATCCATGTTTCGATGTTGCATCTACTTGTTGAACCCTTTTACAACGATTGAACAACCCATAGGATGCACATATTTGGAAATGTTCTTGAAAAATCGGACATAATTAGATGGGAGGGCATGTGTCTAAATTTTTAGTTGAAATACGCATCGAATTAGTTCTTACATTATTTTCAAATTGTTTTCATCAACCAGAATGGACTTTTTGAAGTATAATATCTTCATTATTTAGATAAATCAGTATTCCGAGACAGCTGCAGTTTGAAAATAAATCCTCAAATCATCAACATTGATATTTCGAAACTACTTACACCGTTGGCAGAAACAAACAACGCCGATAAAGCTAGCAGAAACCACATTTCTAAAGACCTTGATTCAGTTGTGGGATGAGAACAGAAAAACTTTAATTATTCTACATTGTACCTCAGTGAGTAGGTATTTTATAGATTTATCTGACCAATGAAACGGTTCACAGATAATCAATTGATTCAAACAGTTCAAAATACGTAATATTCCATCATATCAAGTATTAAGGAGAAATCATAAGCATTCAGGTGTATCTCGTTAATTTTGGTGAAAACTTTGTGTACTTTTATGACAGAAACGATTGTTTGAGGCTATTTTTCAAACCATTTATTATATCGTATATCCAGATTACTGGATGTATGTCTTTATCTGTGTCTATATTTCGAATAGATAGACATTTTCAGCCAATATAAGTCTGAACATATTATCACTCAACTAAAATTTTTTTGAAGTTATTAATTTTCATTGCTTCCAAATGATTCAGTTTCAAACGTTTATTTTCTATGTGCAAAATTTTGAACTCTTCGTTGAAGATGTGATTTTCTTCTGGAAGATGATTTGAATATGTTGAATTTGTTTTCTTATTCACATCGCTCGTATGATGTTCCTGGATTCGGTCGGTCGATCGGTAGCCAAGCGGTTTGGCGTGGGTGCTTTGTTCACTCACTCGAATTGACTGCCGTGTTGGTCGGTGGTTCAAACCCTAGTCTGAACGATCGATCTTCACTTGTTATCGTCTAACCCGTGTTAGGAATCACACGTTAAAAGGTAAGACCTCGTTAATCCTTAGCTCGCACAAGTCTCGACTTCTGAGGGTTGTCGTTTGTAGGAGTGCGACAGCTGGTTAACGGAAAAACAGATTTTAAACAGATTTTAAACAGATTCCTAAATGTTCTACCTGTTTGACCAATATGTACCTTAGATCCACACTTCAATTTATGCACCCCGAATTTCTCGAATTTGGATGTTTTGTCTTTATTATTCTTAACTAACTTTCCCAACGTATTACTTTTTCTATATGCAATTTTATTATCTCGTTTCCTCAAAAATGAAACCACTTTTTCCATTGGTTGTCCAGAATACCTAAATTAAATTCACTCATAAAACTGCACAAAAAGCGTTAACCAATTAGACCAGTGGTTTCCTTTGTTACTGCACCATCAGCGAAATTATCAGAAAGGCTCATCGATATCATCTTGAATCAATAAAATAGAAAACAAACCTCTACCAGACAACGCAAAATTACTATCCTTTGATGTACAGAATCTATTTCACAGCATACCTCCTGATATACTTTTACTCTTACTCTGATACTCTTACTTTAGTAATAGAATTATTCTGTCGTTGTCTCAAACAAAGGTATTTTCAATTTAACAACTATATTTATTCCTCCTCAAAAGGTTTGATTATGGGAAATCCATTAAGACCCTCACTTGCAGAAATGTTCATGGATAATACTATACATGACGATTCTACCCATCCTTATCAACACAAAGTAGCAGCTTATAATAGTATGATTCACAGATTAGTCAACGTTCCTCTTTCAATAGATAATTTCAATAAAGAACTTGATATCATTAAGCAAATTGCGGTTAACAATGGGTTTAAAGCCAATGTTGTGATATATTTTTCAAATAAAGTTTGTACAGATCAAATCGTGAGGTGTAGTTTTTGAAATTACTATGGATCTTCATCAAGTATCGACCGAATAAATCAGAAAAAAAAACCTACTTGATCGGAGACCTAGTTGATCGTTTTCAAAAAAAATACAGACTGTTTATATTACACCTGATGTTTTTGCCTTAATCGGTATCTTGCAATGACGTACAGAAATTATACTGAACAGATAAGAAAAAATGATGATGAAATATATAAAATCAGACTCTTGATAACAATGTTTTCGTTTTAATGCAGTAATATTTCTGAAAATTTAGTGCCTATCATTAGGGAATTGTACTATAGAAAATAAATATTTAGGAATGAAATCTCGAAGCATTCATCCCTCCCAACGGACCTACACGGTAGGTCCTGATGAATGCCTGCCGGAAAATAGTTACTTTTCCAGCTAATACCACGATAGACATTGATTCATATCCAACAGACAGAAATATTCCATATACCAATACTCGTACAGATATCAAAATAAGAGATACATGTTTCAAAATTTCAATTCGAATATTCATTTTCTTCTTCGTATGTATCTCTCCTCGAAATAGTCTCCAGAATTATTTGGGTTTCTATCAGAGCATGATTGTAGTAATAAATGTGATGGATCAGAGGCCGACGAATTGCCATACAAAATTGCAGAAAGCTGTTGGAAATGTTTCAGTTTTGATATGCTTCAAATATGATCAGATCGCATTTTATCAAATGAAAGTAGCTGCGAATCATACTACATTTTGGAATGGAAAGTACTTCTTCAGAATTGGATTTCATGAAATTTCAATTCAAATTATTGCCAAATTGAGTGGCAGCTGTTTTGGATACCGAGTATAACAAAGAGCGTTGAGAATTTCACTTGGTGTGAAATAATTCCATATCAACTCCTGTTCTCAGGAGAGGAAGCCATGATGATGGAAATCAATTGATCATGATAGCAGTTAGTACAGTTAGTACAATATCATATAAACCGTTATCTTGAGTTTTGGTTATTTCATTATGATGTATCACGTAATTTTACCAGAAAATATTGAGTATTCCAAAAAATTCGTGACACATATTTCACCATTCAATAGTCTCTTCAGACTCGTTCAGTACTTACTAATAATTTCTACATTGTGCTTTCATATCGTGCATTAAATCTCAATGAATGTTGATGATTAACAAATTTCTACCCAATGGACTTATTACATAATGCATTTTCACCGTTCTAGGAAGGAAGTTTTTGAACTGGACATACAATAAAAACACAACTACCAGCGTTCTCATTTTACTTTGATTAATTAATGGAGGACCGTCCATTTGGTCATTGAGCAATAATTTGAAAATCTTGAATCTACTGATTTCTCACTATTCCAAAAGATAAGTGTGAACATTTCTCTTTCAAATATAATACGTTGTAACTGTGACCGACCTCGTGTCCCTCTGTCGAAAAATGGTTTGCAAATGTTGGAAGTTCCGAAGAGAAAACCACAATTGAACTCCTATACTCCCAGATATGTCCAACACTTAATTTTGTCTCTATTGTTTTCGATGAATCTCCTGAGCCCAGAAACAAAGCTTTCGAGATACTACACCAAACTTGCTGTTTAGAATCACCACATGACTGCACTGCTGTACTCAACTAACATGAAAGAAGAAGCCTGATTGAATACAAAGAATTCATCTATGATCTCAACAGAAAACTCAAGGCAAATAGTTGGTACTAGAGCCCAAAAACAAAACACATTCGTGATCTAACACTAGACAGCGTTGTTTTGGTACAACAAAGGTCTCATCAGTGGTGCTAGACTGTACCATAAATGTCAACGCTAGTTTTTTCAAGTAAACTTCTCAATTCTCTTTGATATTCAAGAGTTGAATCTTCTGTCGATTCCATAGATGCCGTATTTGTAAAATATATCATCGTCTTCACTAACTTACTAAAGCTTGTCCTTCAAGGCCAGCAGTGCATTCATTATCAAGATGACTCATTATGATAATGAGTCATCATTATGATGAGTCATCATACCTCTAGTCTATAACGAAAAAAATCTTCGAAAGATTTCATCATACTCACTTGATGATAAGAAACACAACTGTTCAGAACCATTAGGATGAATTGAGTAGAAAGAAGCGATAGCTCCATCTATAGGCTGGATAGATATATTTGAAACCTATGTCGTAAGATACTTCTTCCACACACCATATAACTATGTATCCCGTCGCAGGTTGACGAACACTGTCATCTCACATCATCCCACACCAATAACAACCCTCAAAAGTCGAGACTTGTGCAAGCAAGAAGATCAAAAATCTTCTTTACCCACACAGCACTAGATATTCATGGAATATTCTCTGTATATCATAAAACGAACGTATATATTCCAAATATTCATAGAATATTCTTGGAATATATAGTAACGAAGTTAGTGTCATCAAAATATAACTAGGAGGAGTTCCGGTCATCCGGCCTAATTATGCTAACTTAACCAAACGCGCAGAGAGCAGTTTTGTTTCTAGTAAGGAAAATTTTACTCAAGAAGATAACGTAGTTGAACAACTAATGCTACGAAGAATATAAATCGTACACGGGTTATTCAAATCTATATCTTTGAAAATGGTATATCAAATGAGTACGTCTCAAGAGGCCAGTAAATAAAAACCACCAAATTTGGTAAAAAGGTTTTCGAGTACTTTTTTCGTTCATGGAATCGTTATCTTGTGAATTAATATGTCAGTATAATACAATGAAATGATAATTCAAAAATGAGCTTGAATATTACTCAGATTACAATTTATGGGATAAATAGTGAGACATGTCCATTTTCACTTCAGAAATGATAGGTTGTTCGAGCATAATTTCATAATTCCCATGGAGTTTGGTAAGTAGAAAAAATGGATATATCAAAGAAACTTTTCCCAAAACAGAACAAAAAGCTGTCTTTCGACGCACATTTCGATAACCAAGTTAGCTTATCTTCTGGATTTTACCTAACAACCAATCCAGACATTTAGAGAATTTGACATTACAGATCTGCTGAGTGGGAGGATCTTTAAGATCATTTCCGAAATTTCCTTTGGCTAGATGTTTGTTTCAGCTCTAATGATCAATCAACTTGTGCTTTTGAAGTCACGTGAATTATTCTATAATCCATGAATGCATATATTTCTTTTTCAATGAAATGAACTTCTAAAGGCAAACCTTGGTTCAATAAAGATTGCGAGCAAACTGCGCATTTGGTTCAACAAAGATTGCGAGCAAACTGCGCATAAACCGCTGAAAACCAAACTAGGTTTGTTAATGCTCGCAACAACTGCAAAGTCAGAATGAATTGAAGCAAAGAACTTCACAATCAGAGAATTGGGAATAAACTAACGATAAATTGTCAATCCTAATGGTCTAGAATAGTCTAGATCCTTCTGGTCGGTAGCTGAAACTATTGATGAAAACTTTACAAAATCTGCAATTACACTACTAGCACAAGCAAATAGTTCAA